AGCCCCTGCTCTGTCTGCAGAAACGTCGTTTGTCTTTGGTCTGGGCATTTTCAGTTGACAGTAAGCATTCCACAACTGGGTTTTTTTGGTCCAATGGTAGTTCAAAATTGCCTTTTTAATGCTGCCCCCCCAAGCCAGTGAGACCAGTGGTGCTGTTATGATTCAGCTTGTCCCCCATGGTCACAGCACCCTTACCACACTCATGTCAGGACCCCACAGACCGCACGGCTTCTTCACTTGCATGTCGGACCGGTTCAGGAACTCTCCCCGTTTTCCTCAGCACCAGCCTGGGGCGTGGGCGGGGATTTCTGATCAGCTGCTGTGGGGCTTGCCAGCTCCTGTCTGCCAGTCACGTGGGGCCGTGGCCCGGGCGGTGTGAGTCCCAACCCGAGCAGGTCCAGCAGCAGCAGATGCAGCCAGGTCTGCACTGTGCTTTCTTCTCGTGCCGCTCACCTTAGGAGTCCCAGGAAACCAGCAGCTGATTCTCTTGTTACACTTCCCTTCACATGTTCTTCTCCACTCCTAAGGAAGCAGCGTACAGAGGCCTTACCTCAGTCTGCCTGTGAGGCAGGCGGTGCGACCCCGCCTGCAGGCCTCACTGAGCATTTGCCCTGGGCCACTGATCCTCCCTCACGGCTCACGTGGTTCGCTGAGGGGCCTGGGTGCTGGACACACGGGCACACGCATGCTGCCGTCAGTGGTGTGCCAGGCACAACAGGCTGAGTGAAGGTGCCTGGGTCCAGGGGTGGTGTGACAGGACTCGTGTCAGTCAGATCACTCTGGTTCCCTGTGGAGAGATGATGGGGGCATGTGGTGGAGCAAGACACCACGTAGGCTGCTAGAGGCAGGGAGTACCTGGCCTGGGGGTGGAGGTGGAGAGAAGGTGGGTGGGTCCCAGAGGAATTACCTAAATACTACTCAGGATGTCGGCAGGGAAGGCTCCCTGTGTGGAGGCGGAGGCCCATGAGAGGCCCCCCATGTGTGGAGGCCCAGGCCCGTGAGAGGCCCCCCGTGTGTGGAGGCGGAGGCCCGTGAGAGGCTCCCCGTGTGTGGAGGCCCAGGCCCGTGAGAGGCCCCCCGTGTGTGGAGGCGGAGGCCCGTGAGAGGCCCCCCGTGTGTGGAGGCGGAGGCCCGTGAGAGGCCCCCCGTGTGTGGAGGCCCAGGCCCGTGAGAGGCCCCCCGTGTGTGGAGGCCCAGGCCCGTGAGAGGCCCCCCGTGTATGGAGGCCCAGGCCCGTGAGAGGCCCCCCATGTGTGGAGGCAGAGGCCCGTGAGAAGGCCCCCCGTTTGTGGAGGCGGAGGCCCGTGAGAAGGCCCTGCACTGTCCGCTCAGCTTTGCTGTGCGCGTGAAGCTGTTTAAACGAGTCTGTTAGGACGCAACACAACAGTCAGTCGGCTCGAAGACAGCTCCTCCAGTGCCACATTTCTCATGGACAGAGATGGAGTCCCCTGCTGTGGCTCAAGAAGAGGGACAGTCTGGCTGTGTGGCAGGGGCGGAGAGGCTGACCCACTGCATAAAGGGCACACATCTCTAAAGCTGTGTAGGGGTGACCCACCGCGTGGGGACCGTTTCTTGCCACACAAACATTCTCTCGTACTCTGACTTTGAAACGACTGGTGTTTTAAACCTTGATAGGAGGTGTCGCTGCAGGATGTCCGGAAAGAAATCAACTTCTGTCACAAGGTGAAGCTGCCCATCATCGGGGTGGTGGAGAACATGAGCGGCTTCACCTGCCCCAAGTGCAAGGTGAGCGTGCGTGTGACCAGCCCCTCCCCGGGCCTCGCGAGCCGGTCCTGCTTTCCTCCTCGTTTCCGGAAGTGGGATCGCAATCACAATTCTCCACTGCTGATTTCATGAGAATTCTTTTGGTAGTTCATGTTCCACAATCAAAATAGACGTTTTTGAAAAGTTCCTTTAAAATGTAGTCCAGTCTTATGATTCTGAAAAAAGTCATGAATCTTCTCGTTTAATTTGCCTCACAGAAAGAGTCTCAGATATTCCCGCCAACAACTGGGGGTGCGGAGGCCATGTGCCAGGACCTCAAGATACCTCTCCTCGGCAAAGTGCCTCTGGACCCACACATAGGTGGGTGAGTCTGAATGCCCCAATTCCGTCGCTGAGTGGGACCTTCACACATTGGGGCATTGGCCCCAAGCCACCTCCAGGAGCTCCCCCTCCAGCCGAGAGAAGCAGTGAGCATGCGGGTAGCCAAGGGAGCAGGCAGCCCTCAGAGAGGAGTAGAGACTGGTCAGGGAGATGCCAGGGTGCAGGGAGGGCACTAGGAAAGGAACAGAGTGACCCTCAGGGGACTGTTTTGTACCTGTACATCCAGACCTCATCCTGCTGCTGTTCCCATGGGAGCTGCACCTCTGCCACCCCCCTCACCCTGCGCTCCTTCCCTTGCTTGGGTTTCCCTGTCCCAGGGGCAGTGCACTAGGGCAGACGAGGAAGTGACAGTTCTACAGTTGGCCTCACCAGGGTCCACTAAGGTTGGGGAGCATCTGTGGGTAGTGGAACCACTGATCTTGCTTCTCCAGTAGTGCTCAGCATCTGGGGAGCAGGGGCGGAGAAGCTGACCACAGGCGCCTGCCCAGAAGTGGGTGGGCAGACGGATGGAGGAGGTGAGAACACCTCGTGCTCCCTGGGGCAGGCCCTCTGCTTCTCCCCTGGACAGTGGGTCGACACGTGGTCCTAGAGACAACCTGCGTGTCCGTAGGAGGGCACTGGAGTGGGCAGTCCGGTGAAAGATTAGCAGATGGGTTGATACCGATGTGGAATGACCTCCACGGTGAAATGGTTCATGGAAAAAGCAGTGGGCAGAACATGTGTATCATATGCTCCCATTCATTCTTCTGTTATTTTTTAAGCATATGGTGTGTATGTGCATGTATATGCTGCATTGGTGTGCACATACTGTTTCTAGCAAGACACCTGGAACACTGGCATTCTTTTGGACCCACCTTTTATGGTACAACATTTTGTACCCCAAACTTTTTATCATGTGCATTCATTGTTTTTTTTATTCAAAAGAAGTAATTAATCTTTTGAATTGCAGGTTCCTGGGCCCAGCAGGAACTGCTGTCTGTCCTTTGTGGAGCCCTGGAACCCGCATTTGCCGTACACCTCCCCCAGATGATATGTAAACATATCACACTAAACACCCTTGGCCAGGCGAGGGTCAAAGCCATGTTGAAATGCTAGCCAGGGTGGGTCCCTGCTGGATGGAGGGGAGGCAGGTGAGGTCCTTTGAGACCTCCAGCATTCTTTCTTGGTTTCATTCATCATTATGAATGTTGTGGGTTCAAGAGCTTCTTGTTTTATTTTATTTTATTTTTTTTTTAATCCTCATCCGAGGACATTTTTCCATTTTTTGTACAGACAGAGTGGGAGGGAGAGAGAGGAAGAGAGACAGAGGGAAACATCGATGTGAAAGGGACACATCGAGTGGCTGCCACCCGCACGACCAACCAGGGCCGGGGACAAACTGCAACCAAGGTACGCGCCCTTAGCGGGAATCGAACCCGGGTCTCTCCGGACCGCAGGCGGACGCTCTAACCGCTGAGCCAAACCGGCCAGGGCAAGAGCTTCTTGTTTTAAAAATATGTTTTTATTAACTTTAGAGAGAGGGGAAGGGAGAGAGGGAGAGAGAGGGAAACATTGATGAGAGAGAAACATTGACCAGCTGCCTCCTGCACGCCCCCTGACAGGGAATCAAACAGGCGACCTCTTAGTGCATGGGTCAACGCTCAATCCACTGAGCCAAACCAGCCAGGCACAAGATCTTAATGTCACAGGCACAGAAAGAGCCCCAAGGTCATGTTGCCTCTTTGTTTTCTTTAGGGGTTTAATTTTCTTTCATTTGTTTCTTTAAGGTAAGAGTTGTGACGAAGGACGGTCTTTTTTGATTGACGCACCGGATTCACCAGCTACATTAGCCTACAGAAGTATAATTCAAAGTAAGTGTTTCTGTGAGTCTTATGGAGCCAGGAAGTGACATGAATGAGCAAAGTGGGCTGGGTGTGACAAGACCCCACTTAGGATTATAAATGGCCACTACCACGAAGCCTTGGCTGGGGACAGTTGGGATGGGGGTGCCTGGGATGACCTGGAGAGCGTTGCCCTCAGCCCAGGAGGCCGGGAGTCTATGAGAAGTCTTTCAGTACGTCAATGATATGAACTAAGAGTTTAAAAGACACAGTGAGGGTGAGTTTTATGGCGTAGGAAATATATCTCAGTAAAGCTGTCGAAAGAAAATTAGTAAAAAAAATCAAAAACCAAAGCCTAGTGAGCCCAGCGGAGCCCGCGTGCAGCCTCCTTCCACGACGGGCCGCCGGCTGGGCTGGGGCGTAGAGGCATCACGTCGAGGCTGTCCGGTCCTGGCTTGTGCTGCTGCTCTGCCTCGTCAGGGTGTCCAGGGAAAAGGACCTCATGCCCAGGCTTCTTATCTGAAGCATGGACCAAGGAAAGACCTCCAGCTGGTTATAGCCATGGATGGGCAGTGTGTGGTGTTCAGGTCACTTTGAAGATTCAGGGCATCAACAGAAATGGGGCTTTTTAAGGGCGTTACGCCACCCGGGGATTCCACCCCAGTGCAGCAGCGCCCTGGCCAGCACGGGGCGGGGCTGTGGGACTGAGGAGCCAGCAGCATTCCTCTGCCTGCTGCCTTGTTTTCCAGGAATCCAAGAGTTTTGTCTTCAAAAGAAGAGAGAACCTCATTAGTTCCTGAAACCCGGGAACATGGACGCAAGCAGCACGGCCTGACCAGTTGGGCACAAGGTGGGGGTCGGGGACAGAGAGGGACCAGACTCTGGTGTGGTGTGAAGTCACTTTGCAGAGACACTTTAATCATCTGATGTTTGTACAGTTTTCTTTAGAACATATGTAAAGGGCGTTCTTTACAAATGTGCCATTTAAAAAATAAAACATCTCCTCAAACCTTCCCAAGGCCTGCTTCGCTGAAAACCAGCGGCTTGTAGGTCATGGAGTTCTCTGCTGGAAGCCTGTTGGGTTGCGGAACCTCTCACTTGGGCTCCTGCTGCCCCCGAAGAGAAGCCTGCAAAGGGAACAAAGGGGTGGGTGTGGTTTCAGCGCCAAAGACACAGGCTCCGTTTAAAATGGCAGAGTCCAGTTATTCTTCAGACCGAGGAAAAGTGACAGGATCGATGGAGCCTCAAGCTAGGGCTTGTTCTGAGGTTAGCACACGATGCAGCTGGATACACTCAGAACACCCTCGAGAAGCCCTAAGATCACCCATGAAACAGCACTGGGTCTCTGTGTCTGTCCGGTGTAGTCTTGCTGCACTGTGCCCAGTACCTCCCAGTGCCATGCAGGACATTTTACAGGGGAGACAGCTGTGAGTTCTAGGATTGTCTGCATTGTATGAGGCGATCGCTCTGTGTGAGGTGCACAGGAACTGAGAGCCGAGGGAAGAGTAAATTCCTGTTTTCCCTCTTACTCCAGGCATGAGTGGAAGGGTGGGCAAATCCCCCTGTTCTTTCCCTCCCATTCTCTCATTTCCCTCCCTGATCCCCTTGCGCCTGCACATGCGGTCGAATTTGCACATGTCCACTGTGAGGAAGGTGGGACCGCTGTAAAGGGCAATGAGGTCGTAAAGCCCCGGGATGCCCAGTGCACAGGCTGGTTTCGGCCTGGCTGTGCACCTGGCCGCTCAAGGGCACTTGGGGAAGCCTGCAGACCACAGGCACCGCTGAGCCGGAGGAACTGCACTTCTCACTCGCCCCAAGCCCCACGCGTCCAGCTCCCTGCCCTGCTCCCTGCCCTGATCCCACCTCTCACCTAACACTTGTGGATCTCCAGCCCCTCAAGGCCAGGCTTCTGGAAGTCGCTTGGGCAGGCCTGCAAGGGGAAAGTCAACCATGGCTTTCGGTCTCCACCTGTGCATGGCCTGATTGTGATTCAAGGCCAGAGCAAACCTGCCGTGTACCAAGAGCATACAGTAGCTTTATACAAATGTAATATGGTTCAATCCACTTCAGGATGAACCTGGTAAAATTTAAAAGATCTGCTTTTCACTTCTAGAAATACAGGTGAGGTTAAAAAAAAATTTGTGCTTCTCAATTTTATACTTTTAATAATCACTTAAAACTAACAATGATCATCACAGAAGCATAAATCCTGTATGATTCCACCTATGTGGGGTCTCTGAAGTTGTCGTATTCATAGGAACAGAAAGTAGAACTGGTTTCTAGGGGCTGGGGTCAGGCAGTTACTGTTTAGTGGGAACAGAGCTGCTGTTCGGGAAGACAGAAGAGTCCTGGGTGGCGGCTGGAGAAGGGTGGTTATACAACAGTATACATGTACCAGGTGACACTGAACTGTACACTTGAAAATAGAAAACTGGTAAATTAAAAAAATGTTTAATATATTTTTCATTGATTTTTTTGGGAGAGAGAGAGAGAGAAACATCAGTGTGAGAAAGATACTTGCTTGGCTGCCTCCTGTACGCCCCCGACTGGGGATCCAGCCTGTAACCTGGGCATGCGCCCTGACTGGGAATCAAACCGGGACCTCTCAGTCCAGGGGGTGATGCTCAGTCCACTGAGCAACACTGGCCCAGCTAAAATGGTATATGTTATGTCGTGTACATTTCACCACAATTTTAAAATCGAATGGCAGCCTGGCTGATAAGGAAAACATTAAAAACTGCAGTTGCCAACAGGCCTCCTTTACTTGACCTTCTGGAGAGCACGGGGTCCAGGAGTCAGATTTCAGTAGCTCACCGTCTGGAACACTGTCTGGGACAGAAAACTGGCTGTGACTTTGCTGATGTCACCCTCGCCTCCCATCTTACAAAGGATGTAGCCATACAGGTTAGCGGCCTGGAGGGAAATCCCAGCTATCACAAGGGCCTGGTTCAGACAAAGCAAAGGTTAAGTTTTCTGAGCATATATTGAAATATTCCTCCCAAACCAAGTGGCGGTGGCTCTGGCCCACACCTAAAGTGACAGCCAGCCAGCCTTTCCTGAGCACTTACAAATGCGTATGGACACGTTTTAATCATCAACAATCCAAGAAGTTGGTGCCATTATTATCCCAGAGAAACTAAAGTTGCCCAAAGTCTAAGAGCTGGTGCGTGGCCAGGATCCAAACTCCAGAGTCCACACCTGGAATCACGCTGCTTTCGCTGTCTACGGATATCTTGTTCTCTCAACGAATGAACCAGGTCATGGCAACAAAATACAATAGCTCTGAAATAAAACTTCAGAACTCTGAGGCTAACTTATTCCTATCTAGGAAGAGTTCCCTGTGCAAGGTAGCATGTCATATGCTTTTTCAAAAAACAACTCTATTAGCAGCATTATTCACATGTGCCAAAGGTGCAGACAACCAAAATGGCCATCAGTGGATGGAGGGACAAATAAAATGTGGCTTGCCCATACAGTGGAATACTATTCAGCCGTGAAAAGGAAAGAAGATGCACACTACATGGGTGAACCCTGAAAATGCTTTGTTAAGTGAAAGAAGTCAGTCATAAAAGACCACGTATTGTATAAATCCACTTATAGGAAATGTCCAGAATAGGGAAATCTATAGAAACAGAAAGATGAGTGGGTGTTGGGCTGGGTAAACAGGGGTGTTGGGAGGTGGTGATGGCTGAAGGCCACAGGGTATCTTTGGGGTGATAAAAATACTCTTAAATTGATTGTGGTGATGGTTACACAACTGAATATACTAGAAGCCATTGAATTATACACATCAAATGGGCCAATTGTATGTATGTGAATTATCTCAATGCAGCTATTCCAATAAATCTATCAACAATAAATAGCAACCCACTGGGACCCCAGGTTCTGTACAGATGTCATCCAAGCAATGTCTGAATCAAGGTGTTGCCTTACCAGCCACTTTAGCTTCAAGGAGAATAAGGTACTAAAGAAGAACACAATCCAAATCATCGGGCAAATGATGAGGCCGAGCCAGAAGATCCGGGCTTCTGCCTCTGTGGCTGTGACATTATCTGGAGAGACCTGTGTGGGAAAATGATTCATGCTGTCACCTTCATTGATGTTCCATGTGCTTCTGTGACGTGCCAGGGTGCCAGCTGAAGTGAGCTTTGTGTAGGGCGGGTACCAGAGCTGCTCAAAGCCCAGAGGAACCCACAGAAACTTCCCACAGCCATTTTCCCCGTTCTGGTTTGACTTTCCCGGAGAGTACCTTTCTGGCTTCAAAGACCCAGTGGCTCCTCCCATCTTCATCCACCTGGTTCCACCAGCGGAGGCCCACCATGAGCCTCCCAGTGACGTTCTGAGGGAAAGGGACAAAGTGACTCTCAGCACGCCGCAGGGAAAGGGGAGGTCCTCACCTGTTTATCGGTGAATAAAATAAAAGTTAAACTTGTACAGGGAGCAGAGAGAGGGGATTTGAACTGTGGTGGTTTCTCAGTCAGTTTTTGAGGCTTCTAATTTTTTTTTTATAATTGTACATTTTTTATTTCTTTTCCTTTATTGATTTTAAAGAGAGAGGAAGGGAGAGGGAGAGAGAGATAGAAACATCGATGAGAGAGAACATCGATTGGCCACCTCCTGCATGCCCCATACCGGGGACTGGGCCCACAACCTGGGCACGTGCCCTGACCCAGAATGGAACCGGGACCTCTCGGTGCATGGGTCAACGCTTAGCCACTGAGCCACACCGGCCAGGTGAGGCTTCTAATTTTTAATTGAGTTTACCTTAAAAAGTGACAGACTCCCCAAATATATAAAATCTTATTATATAGAACATTTACCGAAAGCCTTATGCAGCTGTCATCCTTACAAGCACCTCTTTGTGACCATGACAGTGACCTCCTGAAGCCATTTATTCAACACTAAACAGTATTTTTCCCACTAATTCTAAGTGCCTCTGGCCCACTATTCTTAAGTCTGGATCAGCAGTTTCAACCAGAGTACCTCTTGGCTCAAATCAGCCACGTGCCTCGGGACAGTGACCATCAGGAAACCCAGCCCATGTGTTTTGGTATCACCAGTGTGTGTGTCGGGGGGCTTACCTTCACAGACCAGAAGTCAAAGGACAGAAGGAGGAGCACGGTGACGAAACAGCCCACAAAGCTTCTGCTGAACCAGTCACAGCACACGTAGGTGACGATGGCACTCACTCGGAAGAACAGGTGGAAAAAGGTAGCCAAGGGGTGCCTAGGAAAGAACCCGGAAGGCCCCCTCACTCCATGGCTTCTGACTTGCCACATTCTCCCTAGTGCATTTCAAGCTCAACTCAACAGGCGGCTGCCCCAAGGATATCACAAGATTAGAAGGCCCACAACGATCATTATTACTCTAGCTTTTTGTTTCTCCCTCTCGAAGAAACCTGTACTTTCCCCCAATTTGATTCCAAATACCACATGTACACTTTGAAACTGGGTCACCTTTGAAGTGAAATGTGACAGTGATCACTCACTGCCTTCCCACCTAGCAGCAGTAGTGACTAGTTCCCTAAAGGTAAAGGTTGGGTTATTACCCAGCAACTGAGCAGAGTCCACGTGCAGCCCTGGTTGCTGTCTCGTGTCATCGGGGAATGCATGTTCCTGGATAGAGGGAAATGAGAACGCGGTGCCAACGACAGGTCTAACTCCTAGTTGCTCACAATGAGTAGTACTTGAATGTTGAAATTTAACCTAGGAGGAGATGGTTTTTGTTCACTGGTCCCGTCGGCTCAAAAGAAGACCCAGACCAAGGGGACTGTGCTCATCCTACATCAAATGCTTTAAAAATGAGTCTGAAAGATGAGAGACCCAAGGGTAATCAATCATGAAGGATACCCATTTGTTTGGAGCAGACAGACAGATGTCTGGAGGGGTCAGGCAGGCGACAGCCGTGGGTGACATGGACCAGGTAGAAGACACTCATGGCTTTCTGTTTCTTTTTTAGGAATCCATTTTTGATAGAGCACAGGTAGAGAGAAACACTCAACCAAGATCAAGAGAGCAACATTGCAGCCTGGCCGGGTAGTTCGGTTGGTTAGCGTGTCACCCCAGTACGCCAGGGTTGCGGGTTCATTCCCCAGTCAGGGCACATACAAGAAGCAACCAATGAATACATAAATAAGTGGAACAACAAATCATTCTCTCTCTCTCTCTTTCAAAAAAGCAGTAGTGCAAGCTTGATGATGATGGTGGTGATTAAAGTGCCACCCATCGCTAGGGATGGAGGGAGAGAAAGGAGGGGCAACCCTCCCTCCAGGGCAAGTGACTATACTCTGCAAACCTGCCCTGGTACTGCCAGATCCAATATTTCACAAAAAGCTAGAAATCCAGAGTTGTGATGGCAAACAGGGTTTTGAAATGATGGCTACTAATTATGTTAATAAATGAATGCAAGCTGTGTATCACCCTAGCCCGCCAGCCACCAGGTTGCAACATCTGGGGTGACAAAGGGGCAGCCAGCAGACCTGCAGGGGATGAGCCTGCTGGGTCTTCCCAAAAGAAGTGTGGTCAGAATAAGCAAATGAGGGCTCCTATGGAATTGTGAACGTGAACTAAGATTCAGAAGCAGAATGTATATGACTTCTGCATATCCTCCTGGTGTTCAAAAGAAAGTTCCAAAGGAAGAAGGGGGCAATGCCCAAACACCAGCTGTGCGCCAGAATGCTTCTCCTCTGTGCCTTTCCGACACAGCTCTCCTGGCAGCCTGGGTAAAGTACCCGGCATTTAAGAATTAGATGTGATGCCCTGGCTGGTTGGCTCAGTTGGTTGGAGCATCTTCCCGTACACCAAAAGGTTGGGGGTTCAATCCCCAGATGAGGTGTGTACAGGAGGCAACTGATGTTTCTCTCTCTCTCCCTTCCTCTCTAAGATCAACCAATATATAAAAATATATCCTCAGGTGAGGATTTTAAAAAGAGAGAATTAGACATGATCACACAGAACATTTTCCAAATCTGGGCTGTTCCAGAGAGCAAGACTCTTGGGAATCTCATATACCCTTTTTTGCCTTAAGTGTTGAGGATTTTCAACAAACTGTCTCAATGCAATTTCACCCCTTTGTGCTGAAGATAATGAATCTTGCCATAACTGAAAGTTCTTCGAAGGCAGAAACCATGTTTTAGATCAGTTGATATCCCTAACAGTACATGACATACACAATTCTCAGCAAATATTTGTTGTGTTGAAACTTGTAATCAAGTTTCTTAAGGATCACTGGGACATCTATCTTTTTTGTAGAACAATATATAGACTTAAAGGATGTAAAAGAGACCCAAGTGTGCAGAGTGATCCAGGGTAAAACCTAGAAGTTGAAGTATCAGAATAACTCTCCTGCCCACCACTTCTTTTTCTTTTGTTCTTTTTTTTTTTTTTTTTTTTTTTTGGTGGGGGCTGTGGTTTCCTGAAATAAAACACAGAAAAAATTCCAATTGTTGGAAAGTTCTGCTTAGTTGGGAGGTATTATTATCATTCAATCAAGTTAATATTCACACAGAGCCCAAAGCAAGTAGAAAATAATGCCTGTTGCACTCTCCAATCTTGCTTTAATCCTGTTTGATGAAGGCTGCTCTCGGGGCAACCCTCTGAATGAAGCCTCATGCAGTCTCTCTCGGAGTTTGCCCAGCCTCTGCCCCCACTAACACTAATGTGGCTGAAGACCACTTTTCTAAGAAGTTTGGAGAGTTTTGAAGGCCATAGCTTAAGCCTGTCCACTCTTCCCTGCCATGGGGTCCTCCATTCTCCCAGCATTCTCTCCCGCCACCTCGCAGCACAGCAAATAGACACCGAATCACGGCCACCTCTCAATGCCGCTGGCTTCCAGCCCCACCCTCCTGGGCACCCACATGGTTGCCCCTTGAGAGGTGTCCAGCTGCCACGTTCTAGTCCTGGCTCCAACCTCTGAGTAGCGCCATGGCCTTTGCTAAGCTACGTTACCTCTCAGCCTCAGTGTTTGCTTCTGTGCAATGGGAATGCCAACAGCAGCTACCTCTTAGGACACTGAAAAGGTTGAGCAAAGCGAGCACGTGTGAAGTGCTTGACACACAGACCGTGATCGGTCATTGTGAGCAGCTGATGTTATCTCAGCCCTCAGAGTCACTTGAAACTGTTCCACCTCAAGAAGCCCACTGGAAAATTCCCCCTCTGACCACAACTTTCCCTCTCATACTCCCCGGGGGAAGACTTCATCTCAGGGATCCCCCAAGACTCCAGATCCCAGATTCCCCGTCCCCGATGCTTTCATTGAAGAACGGCCTTCATTCCTCAGCTTTAACGGAGCATTTCCCACCCGGATCCAACACCCCACACCTGGCCTGGTAGAAGTCTGTCACCTCCAGCAGAGGAGGTGGAAAGAATGACAGGTGGTGAAGGGGGAGATGAGAGAATTCAATCAAAGTGTAGTCAAGGTGGGAAGAGCCTCAATGGGCTTTTAAGTTTAAATCCATTTTCAGAGTTCTGGGTCCCAGGACACCTACTGTCTTCCTCCTTTGAAGGAAACACAAGAGGTTCTCCACCTGGAATGTGCATGGACATGTCCTGAGGCCTTCAAATGTGCGCTGCTGCTCATGTCCTGATCCGCGGGGCCAGGTGTGAAGTGGGGCCCGGACGTGAATTGCCCAAAGGAAAAAGCACTGCACTGTACTGGATCCACGAACTCCGGCCCAACTGCCACAGCTGGCTCACTTCTGTTTCTGTAAATAAAGTTTTATTGAACTGCAGCCATGCTCACTCATTTGCTGGCCTGCAAAGCTGCAAATATTTACCCAGAAAGTGTGCCAACTCCTGCTCCAGAACAGCAGGAACAATTTGTTGATGGAATTAGGCTCCACTCAAAACAAACCAAAAATGAAACAAACTGCTACTATCGGCACCTTTCCCCCCAAAAAAATCTGTTTTCAAAAGTGACAGCGTGGGAGCTGCTGGACCAGCAGAACCAGTGATCATGCTGGAAGTCACAGTAGTGTTATCTCCGGCTGGTTGAGGGGGCAGAGACCGGGAACGCGTGCAAGGAGCCATCTGGGTGCTGGAGCTGTTGTATATCTTGATCTCGTGTGTACACATGTATAAAAATTCATCAAACTGTACTCCTGAGATTAGTGTACTTGACTGTATGTACACTATGCCTCAATAAAAATAAAAATAAATGCTTCTGATTGAAGCCACTGGCCAAAGAAAAATCTTTGCAAGTAACCCTAAAAACTCTTCATGTGATACAATACAGCCATTGCATTCCTCAGCATTTACCCAAATAAGTTGAAAACTGATGTCTGCACACAGATGTTTATAGCACCTTTATTCATAATTGCCCAAGACAGGAAGGAGCTGAGATGCCCTTCAAGAGGTGAATGGATTAAACTGTAATACATCTACACAATAGAATATTATTCAGCACTAAAAAGAAATGAGCTACCAAGCTATGAAAAGACATGGAAGAACCTTAAATGCATAGGACTAAGGGAAAGAAGTCAATAGAGAGGGCTACGTACCATATGAGTCCAACTATCTATCTGACATTCTGGAAATGACTAAACTGTTTGGGAGAAGGGAGGTGTGATACAGAGGATGTTTAGGGCAGTGAAACTAGTCTGTCTGATATTGGAATCGTGGGCACCTATTATTACACATCGGTACAACACCGAGAGTAAACCCTGAAGTAAACTATGGACTTGAGTTAATAATAATAATACATTGATTCATCAATTGCAACAAAATATAACACTAACGCCAGATGTTAATAATAAGGGGAAATTTGGGGTGGGGAGGGACTTATAGGAACTGTGTTTTTGCTCATTGTTTCTGTAAACCTAAAACCACTAAAAAAAAAGGAATATGGCCCTGGCCGGTTTGGCTCAGCGGTTGGAGGGTCCGCCGGTGGACCAGAGAGTCCCGGGTTTGGTTCCCGCTAAGGGGCACGTACAAGAGAAAAAAAAATGGATATGGGTCAGTACAGGGGTGCTCTGTCTAGACAGTATATAGAGTAAAACGGGAAGATGATATCCCGTACACACATACCCCTTTCCCACAAACTTCTAAGGCAGGTTTTATTGGGGGAGAGGGGAGTTGATTTAATCCTAAATTCAGCAGTGATCAAATAGTATGTTTAAATTTTGCCCTTTGTTTAATTGTTGAACAGATGAGTAAACTGTACTCAATTTGAAAACTGTACTCTGATTTTCAAGTCTCCAGCTTGCGTTCCCCATAAAACGTCCTATTTTA